CGTCAAGGACGACCAGGCCGTCCTGATTCATCCATCCACGGTCCTCCGCACTGAGTTTGACTGGGTCCTGTACAACGAATTCGTGCTCACATCGAAGCAATACATCCGAACATGCGTGGGGATCCGACCCGAGTGGCTATTGGTAAGTTGTCTTTCATTGCTCATCTTCAATTGGGAGGGAGCATCTCTTGAATGCCGTAGCACAGCTTTGCTAACATACTCGATAGGAAATCGCCCCCACTTACTACGACCTGGACTCTTTTGAGCAGGGCGACGTCAAGCGTTCTCTGGCTCGTGCTGCGGAGAAGAAGCGGCGCAAGGAGGCCATGAAGGCTGGCAGATGAGGCCCTCCAGCTCATATGCCGCCCTGCGAAAAGGGGGAGGGGAGGAGGGCAAGCAGCAATCGAACGGGGCTGAAAAGAAAGGGCAAACAAGGATCAAGGAGGCGCGATCGATCGCGCGCACTCTGTGTGTCGGATATCCCGTTGCTGCAAGACGACACATACTGCGCTGCACCTCACTGCAACTACACCTCAACTGCACTCCAACCCTACCTGCGGCCCTCTCCCATGGATCACAACGGCCGTCGTCTAGTCTATGCCCAGCGCATGGACCAACCGGGGGAGGGAAGGGATCTCTCTTGGAAAATGCGGAGGGGGGAAGAGACGGCAGGGCTGGACTGGACTGGACTGGGTTTGTATGTGGGTGGGAATGTCATGTTCCGTCTCAAACCCATTCATTTCCCTTGCCCACCCTCCTTCAGAACCCCGACCGTTGGTGGAAATTCCTTGTTGGTGACTGGTTGAGCTACGGCGTTTTATGTGCAGCAGCCACTTGTTCTGGTTGGTTTTTTGTTTGTGTTTTGAATCTTTTACTCTCTTTCCTCTCCTCTTTTACACCCCCTCTCTTGAGGAGAATCGGTTTTTTTTGCTGGTCATCTATTTGTAGATGCCAAGAGAGGGGGGGTTGAATAGGGTGTGATGGGAAGTGGGCGTTTATTTGGCTGTTTTTCACTCGCGCGTAAGAGGCAAAGGAGAGAAGAGAGAAGACAAGAGAGCGTTGAGGAATATGCGCGTCTGTGTATGGATGGATTGAGGGATGACAAAAAAAGAGGTGGTGGATAGAAGGGCTCATATCATATCTGGACTGGACGAGTAAAGAAAGCTGTTAGAAGAAACCTTGACTACATATTCCAAAACACTGCAATCTCATTTGATTGCTGCACGAAGCCTGTTTCGGATCTTGTGCCTCCTCCGCAGTAGATACCTACCGTATCTGACTGTACAATCTTTCTTGTGTGTCTCTCTTTTTTCTATGTTTCCTCTCATCTCATCGCTGAGATGCGACAAGTCGTTTCCCCAACGGTCTACACGTCAAGATGAAGTCGATGATGCAAATACATACAAGGTTATCCTTGTTTCATGGGCGGCTGCTGCAAGCCGGGGGGTTGGTGGTGGTGGCAATCACACTCCGCCCGCCGCGGAACAAACGATGGATGCAACTTTACCTTTTAGTCTCAACGGCTTTTAGACATTTTACTCAGTGTGTCTTGTCTGTGGCGATGCTTATCCCACGGAGGGGGTCCGGTGTTCCGTTTGAGCAAGGGGGTGGTGTTCTATCCTTTTGACAAGGGTGTCCCCCTCCCCCCTCCCCGTCACATCGCATCGTGATGTTGTGGAGGCGGGAGATCGAAGCGAAAAAAAAGAAAGGAAAAAGCAATTATTCCTGCGTGGGATGAACAAGATATTAACCCGACTCCCAGGCACCTGGGAACATGTTCAAACAAAAAGCAACGACAAAGTTCCCAGTGCAAGGGGGAGTTGCGTGTGGGGGGAGTAGATGACAACTGACAGACGCGGCGATCGGAACACACAGAGTTGAATGAATTTGGTCTGATATGATATCGGGAGAGAAGTAAACAGAAGCGAGGGGACGTGATGGCGCGTTTCGATCCTCAAGCAAGCAAACCAGCGCTGGGAGACAGGCACCGGCCATGCGGATCCCTTCCCAACGAGGACATGGCATGTGCAGCCATCATGGCAGGGTACTGGGCGAGAACCATGGGGTAGTTTACTGTATGTACCAGGGGGGGATGAGAGCAAGTGAGCACTTGGGCGAGGCGAGGTGAGGCGAGGCCAGCTAGTTCAGTACTGAAAGAAGATAGCTGTCTACCGTCTTGTCTGAAGTTCAGCTCAAGTCAGCTTATTGACGACGGCGTGTGGCTTTGGCAAAGCCTCTTCTCATCATCATGAACCCCACGCGACATGATACGCAAGTAGTATCTGAGCCCGGCCGGGGACAGACAGCCGTAGAGGGAGTATCGTGATCCGATCCCTTCACCGTAACAAACTAGTTAGCAAGTCACCGACCCTCCCCATCCAGGCTCACCGGCGGAAGGGTCAACCGGAGATATCATGATTGGTCGGGGGGAGATATTCGATAGGCTTGCGTCTTGGACCGGGGATGCTGCAGCCTTGTCTGTCTTGTCGGATCAGGAGAAACCTTGATATCCAAGACACATGGTCTTTACAAGCAACATCATCCAAGTAAAAGCATCATCAGGGTTACTGCTCTACCGACATTCTGTACCCGAGCGAGCGAATTGCCCATCTCGGAAACCCGGATCAAGGTCGACAGAAACACGAGATGTCCGATGAGCCCGCTTCCCTTGATGAGCCAGCGCTACCACATTCAGTTGCCAGTAGAGGCTCGAGCTTTTGGGCAGATGACATTCCCTGCCCTGCTGCTCTGGGGAATATTGTCCGGCTGCAACTGCAGGGCCCTTCCCGGGAAACCACTGAGCCCATCCATCATGCATTGGATCCCATCTGGGCGGGCCAAAGCTTCCTTGCCCTTGCCCCGGAATCTATTTGGGGGGGGGGGGGGGGGGGGGAATTCAAGGTGAATCAAGAAGACCAACGAATACTACTGTATGCAATGCGCTTGACCGAGGGGTAGTAGTGTAGCCGATGCGTGTCAAACGGTTTGCGTGTCGTTTGAGCTCAGCAATCTCGCGTCAGCTCTTGTAGACTTGCGGCCTCAAACCGCAGTCTTAGTTACGAGCTGCTCAGCCTCTGCGTGGTTTTATGGTAAACTTTGGACCCGTCGTCTCAGCCGCGTAATAGTTAGTGCTTCCGATGAAGCCGAGGTCCCCAGGTTCCCCTCAAACAACAAACGGGACGGCGCCAAGGTGAGACATGTAAGTTTTGTGAATGGAGGCTTAACCCGGAGGTCTCGGTGAAGCGGGTAGAATTGAAACAGTACGATGTGAGACAGCCGGGTAGAATGTCTCATGATACTGATTGAACAAATTGACCAACCATGATGAGGAGAGAGTCTAGTGATCAGTTTTCAAGACTTCAAATCTCGCTCACGAAGAAAAAAAAAAAAGGCACGCATCCCCAGATGATCTTCATCATGTCAGGCAAGGTCAAGTGCCATGATCACGACGTGTGTTTGAACCATATCCGGCAATTACACGTCGGGATATACTTTTCGTATACCCACACCAAAAAAGAAGCAAAGAAAAAAGTGCGGCGCCACGCGCTTGTGGATCCCGCATCTCCCGTCCCTTCAACTTTGGCGAGGTCCGTTTCTGCTCTTTTTTTTTGCTTTTTTTACTCGCCTTCTAGATGCATTAACATCCAACATGTCAAAAAAACATAGAACAACCCTTTTTTTTCAGCCTCATAAAGAGACAAGTCCCCTTCTCCACATCAAAAAAAGGGACGGACCAGAGATGAGGTCCCGAGGTTGCCTTGCCCATGCCATGCCATACATCCATGATGGATACCGCGCTCGGGTCGTGCCCGTGCTTGTCGCTCGTGGCACGACACATGGTGACATGGGACGACACACAGCATGCCGACGGTTGACCATGGGCCTCGCAGATAAGTGGCTTCAGGCCCTGCACGCCGACTGGCCCGAGAAACACCACACAGATATGCAGACAGGACAAGCCCAGCTCAACCGGCTACCCCCCCCCCCCCCTCCCCTTTTCTTTGACTCTGACAATGTCATGTTTGTGATTGCCGGTTGAGCGCCCTCACCAGAGCGGCCCGTCATGGTCCTTGAACGTGGTGGTCCGCATTAGCAAGGGAATCATGGTGACGGCGCTTCGTCTCAGGCACGTCCGAGATGGATGGACGAATGGCCTGTCTGCATCCATCATTGGATGTCGTGTCGTGTCTAGACGTCTCTCTTCCCCAGAGACACACACATACAAGCGACACGCCCTCCACTCCATTTTCATCAAAGGTTACCCCCTCCCTGGACCGAACGACCCCTCTACCTCACGCCATTTCCGCCGGCCGCTACGCCCGTTGGAGCTCTCGTCCCATGGCCCCACGTCTACGACGAACCACACGCCGTCCAGGGCTTTTGTCGACTTGGCTTTTGCGGCAGCCCATCCGATCGCCTCAAAGGCCGAGAGCCCAGCAGCAAGCAGCAGCAGCAGATTGAGGCGGGAACCGCAAGCCCGTCTGGATGTGCCACTAATGCTGAATAACATTTGCTCTAGCGAGCCTCTGGAAGCGCTTGGCCGTCCTCCCCGGTCCTGTCGGCACCACCGTTTCCTGTGCCCACATCGTTCAGTAGTTAAGAGTCTAGAGGGTCCAACCGCAAAGAACCTCGTCAACAGGTAAGATGCATGTCTTGTATGCCCGTGTCCGTTCTCTGCTGCAACTTGCTCTCGCTCTCCTGCTGTGGATAGACACAGAAAAAGCCCACCGGCCCTCTTCCGCAAGTCTCGCAGGGGCTCCCTGTCTGTCATCACTGGGTGTGGTCCCCCCACTGCATCGTTATGCCCAGCGGGGGGCCCCTTCGACCAAGGGGGGCATCAGTCAATCCCATGAAAAATGGCATTGCGACGCCAACGGCCATTCGCCATCGAGTTTAGTAGCTGTCCCCAAGACGTCAGCAGCTGTCCGTCCACGATCCAGTATGTAGCAAGTACTCAGTATACGACCCGACGGCACGCACCTTTCACACATCATGCCAGCCCGTTCCCGCTTGGGAGCCCTTGAAAGCTCCGCCCAGCCCTGGGGATCCTTGACATGTTGGCCATCGCTCATTCTCATCAGCGGTAGTACAAGAACATCGTTCGACCCTTTCCCCCAGCCTAGCCCGCTCTCCGTGCTAGCTTCGCATTCACGTCACTTCCTCCCATCATCGCCTGGCCTGGTTAACTTGCCTCATATAAGACCTGGTGTCTCGCATCTCCGTTCCTCTCGGCCCATTGACTCTCACCAACCATACCTCCATCTTGTCCAATTCCTCTCCTCCCACGTCGTATAATCCTCCTCCATACAGTACATCAACAAGAAGAACAACACAATGAGCGGCGCTGGTGGTTTTTACAAGTACCGATGCAAGTACTTTTACACACACAACTGCCCCAACTGGGTTTGGGTGAACAATGCGCCTTGCGCATCATGTCTTGTAAGTTTTACTTTACTCTTTCGCATCGCAATGCGGATCCGCTTGCTGACCAGTGGTTGACAAAATAATCAGGCCGATGGTCGCGATAACGAAGAACCCCATCTACCATCATGGGGACTTCCCCGGGACATCGTCGTGCCCCAAGTCCTCGACGGAATCCTTCAGTACACCCTCATGGAGCTTGTAGCTCCTTCAGAACCTGGCGACGACTGGACGCTCAGGGACAAGGCCAACCGACCACCGCCATCGATCCCCGTGACCAGTGCAATGCCAGGTATACCGGGAATCATGTCACATCACCATCGCTTCTGAGAGGGGCAGGGGGGAGGGGCCTTGAGGGACACCACCCTCCAAGGGCTTCCCCAAAACCAAATTTGACGACAAACTGAGCTTGGGAAATAATTATCGACGAAAAGGGATTATCGAATCAACGACGGAAAACGCACGAGGAAAGGATCTAATCGCATCTCATCTGGGATAAACACCAGCAAGATTTGCAAGCCTTCTCTCTCGACCGCTGACCGGATTGGATTGTAACGCGCCATCGAGGCGTAGTGCAGTGTACGACTTCTGAAAGATTCTGACGGGATTCATTCGCAGGCAGACAGACATTGCGACTGCGACGCTGAATATTGGATGCAACGGGAGATTGGTGGCTGGAGATGGAAAGATCGCAAGCAAACAAAACCCCCCGGAGATACCCATGCGCTGTGTTGGACGTTTCTGGAGACGGGGGACTCCATTCTGGAATTGTTCTTTTTTTGTTTTTTTTGGGGAGAATCATCTAACGGGCGCGTATGTGTGTTTCACTGGGCATGGGAACATCTATTGTCTTTTTTTTGGGCGGTTCTGGAGCCGGGAAATTGATTTCTTGACCCTCCTCCCCATTGGGGATTGACGAGGCAACATCTCATTTCATTTCGTGTTGATCACCCGCTCTCAAAAAAAAAAACGTCCGCGCGCCGCGTGCGACATGTGATGTGAGGCTCGGGGAGCGGAGGTTTGTGGTTGTGGCGGGCTGGGGGCGAGTCAGTGATGGGGATCCAGGCGCACGAGATCATGTCGAGGGCATCAGATCAAGGCGCGAAGGCCAGGGCTAGGTCGCGAGATGTGGCGTGCCACAGAATGAGAGCTCGCCTGATGATCCTTGCTCGTCTACCTATCAGTCAGTCGTCGTGTGTCCCGGTACCTGGGGGCCCTGGACCCACCAAGATGGGTTTCCTCAAAGAGCGCGATTCTGAGTCTGAGCTGGAACAGGCTGATGGAATGAATTGGATGGAGCAGGTTTGCGCACGGGAGCCGAACGTAGGCGCGGACCAAGAGGGTCTCTCGATGCAAGGCGACGACAGAAGGACCCCGAGAGCCGAAGCCGGACGAGCCGTTTCCCTCAATCCAACTAGCTCGGCGATACTGTCTTGACAGTCATGGTGTTTGTCGTTGGAGATTGGCTCGTACCTGTCGTAGCGGGCTTGCTCGTCAAACGGCCGGCTTTCCTCAATGCGGATCAAACGCAACGGTTTCCACCCAGCTCCACGTGTCTGAGTCCTTGGAGGGTGGTGCCAATGATACGCTGGACCCGCGTCAAGGCTGAGCTAGGTGCCGAGCAGAGCATGAGGATTGGACGGCTTGTTGGTGACGAATTGCCGCCCGCCCAGTCACGGACTGGCTCTAGAACCTCTTTTTCTTCTTGTGTCCTTCGCTTACTCCCGCGGGCTGAGCGGACCGTTAGCCAGGCCGACCGAAAGAGGACAAGACGCGCGGTCGCAGAGACGCGGCCAGGGCTGAATCAATTGCTCAAGACGCTGTGCTACCATATGGCTTGTTTCGAATTGGCCAAGGGTGTATCTGTACGTAACTCAGAGCTACTGTATGGATTGGATGTAGGTATGAGGTCAAAGTGTGGAGCGAGTGAGGTGAGATGGATGAGATTGAGATGGAGATTGAGGATGGGCATATCCGTAGTTCCATGGAGATTCAACTCAGATGATTCCACTTCTTGAGACGAGATGCGCACAATGGTAGGTGAGCAGTCACCCGGCGCCTTTCTTTTTCCATCTTAACTTGTCATCGGTCATTGTGACGTCTTTGTCCGTCCGTCGCTGCCGAGAGGGATTCGGTCCAGGAACAAGAGTATTAACGCTAGCAAGGCTTCAAAGCGTTAGCACCATCGTCAAAAATGGAGAACGGGGAGGATTGAATGATGAATGAGTCCATGTAAGCACACTCTGCCGCCGTCAACTGGCTAAGAGGGGAACCACCGGAGGCCGATAGTCCCCACTAGCGCCCGCTCCGTCGCCCTTACCTTACATCTTCCATGCCATCCATTGCCAGTTTTACCCAGGGGATCGCGCAGTGGCAGGACCATCCATCCCATCCCGCATCGGCCTCCGCCGGCCTCACTGAAACCTCACACACCTCACACACCTCACACACCTCGCTAAGAAGGCCACAGCTAGCTAAGCAGCCTCATTGTCTTGGCCCAGCTGAGGTGAACCCCAATTCCAATAGTTACCAATTGGGGGCTCACCTCAGCTTCAGCTGGAACCACCTCGACTTGAAAATCACCCAATGGCTCATCTACTCTACCGACATGCCTAGGATTACCCAATTGGGCACATCTCGGGATGCAAGACGAAAAAAGAAGCTATGCCATCATGATGCTTGAATAAATCCCGAGCATACAAAAAAAAAAAAAAAAGAAAAAAAACACAACACGTACCGTATACACCCTTGACAACGCAAAGACCATGTCCTCGTCCTCCTCTTACAATGCTACGGTATGTTAGTTAATTCCCCATGATCTCATGTATGTATCGCCTGTACCCCAATCCCCCTCCAAGGATCCCAGTCAGTGTAGCTCCCTGCATCAGCCCATTCCCCATGGCTTGGCCCGAGTGCTAAAAAGGCGCCATGGCACGGTTGATGGATCCCTCCCTCACTCCCGTTCGACAATTTTCCAGAAGCGGTATGGAACGATTTGAGAGAATAAAAAAAAAACCGCCGACGCGACGCGGCGGGACCAGCCACTTGCTTGGTCTATTTAATTGGAGATTCTGGTGGCTGATGATGGAGATTGATCAATCAGTTTTCGGTACCGACGGTCTCGGTGGAATTGTGCCATGCATCTGGCCATGTCGGCTTTTCGAGGACGGGAGTCGCCGTATATTGGAACAAACAAGTCCCATCTTTGACAAAAACCGCAAATTGCGCTTTCCGTGAAACAAAGCCTGCCGCTTCTTCTCGGGCGGTGAGGACGGACGGTCAGTCGGTCAGGTTGTCTGTTGATCACGTAGTCCTCCTCTATCTCTGCAACCCCGGTGGTTTTATATATCCCGGACAGAAGCAGTGGAGTAGGGTTGGTTGCGATAGGATAGGATAACTGAGAGCACGGTGCATCACGCTACATACCCTAGACAAGGAGCGACAATGTCCATGGGATCATGCTATAATCTAGGAGTGCAGTTGCTCATACGAGACCTCATATTAAGACCCTGAATTTGGCGAATATCTTGTTTTCGGCTTTGAATCCTTCAACGAGAGCCTGTACCGAGCGAGACTCGGTGAGCGGAACTAAAGCCGGTTCATGGGTAATAAGGGTTGTCACATTATTGCAAATTCAAGTGGAACAATTCAACGTAATCATTGTCGTCATAGTTATGCCCAGTCTCAAGGCCGTGATTTCCTCTACCGGGATATACCTCCGTTCAACTCCTCAACTACACCATCACCGCTAGAACGGCAGCAGCCAATCCAGCGAGAACCATGCCGATCCTCGGACTAGCACCCATTGCAGCCGCGTTATCGTCGTTGCTCAACCCAAACGGTAGGCCCTGGTAATCAAACGTCACGTTTTGCTTTATGGAGCTATTGTAGCATTGTCCATTGGCAATGTCCAGACGCGAGAGATCATCCGGTACGCGGAAGAACATGTACCGCTCTTGGGGGATACCCTTGAAGCCCTCCGTGTTATACGGAAACTTGTTCCCGTCATCAGTGGCGCTGGTGTTACGCAGAAAGATGCACTGCACCTGTCCCGGATAGTCCTTGTACAGCGCTGGATAAGCCTTCATGACGTCCGAGTTTGTCGTGTCGGCGACGAGGATAAACTTGCGATCGGGGAACGTCTGGAAGACCTTGTCTAGGAGGAAGCGACGGATCGAGAGCGTCGCCGACAGGTCGGAAAAGTTGAGCGGACGAGTATCAAACGAACCGAGCGGGTACGTGTTGTAGATGAAGCTCATGTAGTTGCGCGTCGCCTGCTCGGGGGTCGTCGTGAGGTAGTGGAAGTGAAGATCGTTGATGGACGAGGACCAGTTGGCATAGATATCTGGCATGTTCATCCACGATACGAATGGCCGTGCAAAGGTGTTGAGAAGACCCTCCTTGGGCTCGTAGATCTTGGTCACACGAAGGATATCATCGATATCCGATACGATGGTCATGCCCTTGGGAGGAACCAGATATGCCGTCGCGTTGCCACTGTTGTTCTTGCCCTCTGCGTACAGATTCAAGGTCTGGATTCGTGATGTCTCGTTGCCTGGGATCAAGTACCCGTTGTCTGGCCCCGTGGTGTTTCGTAGCTTGACAAAGACATCAAAGTCGCCCTCACGCGTGGTGTTGTAAGGCAACTTGATCTTTTGAGCACCGCCTTTCTAGAATCCCATTAGCAACCACATGTACCATATCTCACATCTAGCCCTTACCGCGTTGATAGCACCGCCACTCTCATCCGGATCAACACCAACGTTGTTCACAAAGTCCATCGTGACGCTCACATCGCCCTGCTGCACCACAAAGATGGACTTGGTAACGTTTCGAGCCTGCGCTTGCTGCGGCGCCGAGAGCTCATCGACATCCGTGTCAATGAGAAAGACATTGGCGAGATCGTCAATCTTGTCCTGATCGATGTCGGGGATTTTGTAGACGTTGCCGTGAACTCGCACATTCCACCCATCGTTCGTCCAGTTGGCATACGGGCTATGTCATGGTCAATTCTCGTAGCTGAGGTCGGGCCAAGACCAACTTACGGGAGGTTCAAGACCTGAGTCGGTTGTGCCGCCAATTCATCGTCATCGTCCGAGATACCAAGCGACTCCTTCACCGCATCACCGGTAGGGAAGCCATTCGGATAGTCCAAGATTCCAGAGTTGACCCATTTTGAGATCTTACTCTCAACACGGGTCACAAGGCCGTCGACGTAGCTCTCAACAGAGTCAATGATGTCGCGTTGTTCAAGAGCCACGAGTTCGGTCGGCTCGGGTGCCTTTACGGCTACTGCTCGGTATACGGTGGGTTCTGCGACGGGTGCGGCGGCCGGAAGGGCAATGACGGCGGGCACGAGGCCCAGGAATGCTGCTTTGAGCATGGCGATGAACTTCAGGGCACTTCTTTCACCTCCCACGAAGGCTGGTAGCAAGGGAGACGCGAATGTCCAAGCTAGAAGCACAAGACACGAAAAGATCTAAAGGGAGAACCGATTATTTATGACTAAAACCGGCTGGTCGGCTCCTGTGCCAACAAGTTCCTGCATTGGGTGACATCACTGTCATTTGGTCTCAAGTCATTGGTCTCATCCTATTGGTCCATCTCTTACAGCCGGGATGGAATCAAGCTTTGGCGGACACTACCTAGCCACATGCTAAGACGTGAAACAGCTCCCAGACCATCAATTTCCTGCATCAGCTCGATCTTAGCCCCTAATGAACCTGAAAGCTCCGTCGCACAGCCCTACCAACAGCAATGACAGAAACGATTGTGGGAGGCCTGTGTTGAAGGGTTGTACAATGACATCATCACATATATCCTCCGGCACGTCGGATCCGAGAAATGGGCTTGAATATCGCGCAAGCCGGCTCCACTGTCAACCGATTAGCTGTATCTCCCACGTGTAGGCACGTCTTTCGTGCTCAGGTCGTAGCGAGCACTGAAGCTCTCATATCGACCTGCTTCAATGTTAGCACATATATCAACAATGTAGGAAGCGGGTAGACTTATCCCCTCTGCGGGGGGTTGCCCTCCGCACTATTTCTGGTGAGAGGGCAACCAGGACTGCCTATCCAACCAGGCCTGTCCAAGATCCAACGATACAACTCAGTGCAACTGTGCGACCCTGCAACCTCAGACTCAACCCACGGCTAGGACCGCCACAACACCAGACAAGCACGAAACTTTGACTCCAACTCGAGATGGGTCCCGGCGCTGCTTTGAACCTTGCTGTAGATCTTGTCGTTGGGAACAAGGCGAATGCAAAGCTGAACTGTCCCGAGTAACTGTAAATCCCAGCAAAGTTAGATGCCTTCGCCGACAGGATACCACCGAAAGCCGTCATGACAGAACGCAGTCTGAAAAACACTCGACGCGAACAAGATGACCCCTTCTGTTTGATTCGCACTGCCAACAAGGACCAGTTTTTGTAATCTCTCCATCTTGTAGCAAGAATTGCGGAGGACGTGAACGGGTGGACAAAAGACATCCATAAAAACCACCCTGTCATCTCAGGCTCGCCTTTTCAGGTTAGAGTCGAGGAATCCTTTAGGGCCATCTGGACCCTGTCCAGTATATAGGCACCTTCAGGTGGGCCGGCGCCCATCATGACCAAGGGATTGGGGACCCAATGGCTAGAGGTTAATGCGCTTGGTCAGACCAGACGCAGAGCGTCACACGCCACGACGAATTGCCATGGCATGGTCCTGGGAGCGAATCGAGTCGAGGGAGTGGATTTGATGTGAACCAGTGCAGCAATCTGCCAAGCCATCGATCTGCAGCTTCGAAGGGCCGGGAGCCATTTGGCTGGCAAGAAGGGTCAGTTGTCGTTCCAATTTCTGTATGTTTCCGCAAGTGGCCCATTGCACCAGGTGGAGTTTACCAGATGGCGGTTCCGACAGGCGACGACTTGGGCGAGTTGATGAAATACGGAGACTGACTGTATGAAGCCATACCAACACCCCAATTCTTGGCTGCTTGGGCACAGAGGGCACGAGAGCCTTGCCGGTTCCATCTCCATGATCCCATGGCTGATTGCATCTCCAGGACGGTCTACTCTTGACCGATGTGCTGGTTCCAGTGGAAAGGGCTGACGAGCGTCCTCAGACCAGAGGCTCTTACCGTAACGACTCATGGCACCGATCCTCTCGCGCACACAAAGGTGACTGGACTATCCTCCTCGCCTGTCCGTCCGCCTGGCACCACAAGCCGATCGTCCAACTTTTCAGCGGGCACGTCACAGCCATAGGTGCCTAGCCGGCTTAGAAGACGACTTGGACGACAAGAGCGCAAAGCTTAAACCAGATATCTTCTTAGGGTTAAGTTCCGAAACGCGTTACCCTTCTGCCCTGGTACAACCTCTACAGGTCGCGGTGCATCCACAATAATCCAGCTGCGGCATAACGAGATCCTGATACAGGTTCGAGAGCGGCATATTGCGGCTAACCAGATGGGAAGGGGGCCTGCGATAGACATTCCTTGCGGAAAACGTGAGTCGGAGAACTGTGGGGGAGGCGTCGCGCGTGTTGAGTAAGAGTGAAGGAGTTCATCTTGAAGCGTCGAAAGATTTCAAAAAGCTGATCTGTATGAATCGTTAGGCATTCCGATGATAATCGTGTCTCCAGCAAAAAACCGAGGAACTGAACAGAAACGCGGAGTGGTTGTTGACTGTGAAAGTGCAGTGAGGAAGAGAGGAAGACGCGAAGTGAGGTAGAGTCTCCACATTTGAATGCCAGGGTGACGCGCCCGCACGTGACCGCAACACCAACCTCCCCACAGTGCTAATACTGTAGTCACTGTGACGGGTGCACATGAAGGCAGCCTGAATGGATCACGATGACAAAACACTTTTTTAAACCTCTATTATTTCCACCCTAAACAATAACCATAATGGCGAGCTCGTCTTCTTCAGCAAACGAGCAGCCCAAAATTATTGAAGTGATAGTTGAAGCTGGGAAAAAGGCCTTTGATCCTAATATTGATGCAGTCACTCGAGCGACAGGTGTTGAAGAGTACAACAAACTTATCGAAAGGTTAGTGGCGCAAGCCTGCAGCGAAATCTGTAAGCCAAGATACTGACTGTAAAAGCACTGAAACATGGACTCTTCTGCCAGCTCTGAATGCCCTCATTAAACCCTCTATTCTTCCACCATGGCTACGGAATCCCATGCTCCAAACCTTGACTCTCATCCCGCTTCGTCCGGATGGTGTCCGCGGAACCATGGAGTTTGTCTTTTCAGTGCATCCTAGCAACGTTGGAAAGACCCCAGAAGCCGATTCTGCACCGCAAAAGCAGGGAGCCAGCATCACCCACGAGGCTGTTGCTGTCGCTACCCGGCTGTTGTCGTCGGTTCCGGCGACCATGACTGCAGATGCATGGTTCTTGGGCATTTCTGGGCAGCTCTTCAGTCTTATAGATGGGCAAGCTGGTCCAGATATGGCGAGGACTGCTGCCCAAATTGTTGGATATGGGATCCTCGGGAAGAAGCAATATGGAGCGCCTGGTGAGTAAATAGAGCGATTTATTTGTGCCAGCGTTACTAATCGACATAGGATCTCCTGGATGGAACGCATTTGTTCAACCGCTCGTGCAAGACTTGAACCCGTCGTTGAAGACAACATCAAGTCTTAGTTCAACAATCATCAAACAGGAGGAAGACATTGTCGACCTCAGCAAGGACCGTGTTCTTGTCACCTCCCAGTCACTCAAGACATCCCTCCAGCGACTCAACACTCTTGTGTTGTCCAACCCATCTCCTGGTCTATGTAGGCGTCTCCTTAGACTGGTACTGGTCCAAATCTGGGTACTTGGGTCATGGCCCAAGCCCTTACCGGTCACCGAGAACGATTTCGTCAAGCCTGCTAGGACATTGCTACAGGCTTACTTGAGGCTCTTTGGTACCGCCGACAGTGTCAAGCCCTTCTTCCAGAATCTTCTCTGCAAGGGCTCTTCAGATGACACGAAAAAGCCTTGGGAGTACCGTTTGAGGGGGAAGGGAGAAATCGAGGCGGTGGAGCCGCGTGGCTTCGACTTCAAACCGGGTATTGAGCTAAACTGGACCGAGCTCGAAGACAAATCAGTTACCTTGGTTGATTCCATTGTAGCTTCTTGCTCTGCAGCAGAAGTCTCATCCATCTTTCTCAGTCTGTTACGACGATGGATTGAGACGGCAGGGAAGGAAACCGACGAGGTTAAAATCGACATCCACCCTGAAGGTGAGACGTCGGAATCACCTGTCCAGGATCTTGTTGAGGTCACTGTACTTCAAAAACTCATGGACAAAGCACCCGAGAAGCTCGTCAGCCATTTCGATCAGCTGCTAGAGCTTATCTGTCAGGTCCTCACCGCAGATGGCCAATCACGATTAGCAGATGATCTCCTAGCGGTGGTACTCAGTCTCCTGAATCTGGTCATCACGGCACCAACGTTCCAGAAATCTCACATCAAACCGGAGGAGCTCAAGATTGTCGAAGCTACCCTGGACAGATTGTCTCGAGAAGATAGGGCACAAGTGTCTCCTACTGCAAGAAACTTGGCATTGCTACTCAAGTATCGAGATGATGTGGAAGAATTGGACGAGCCTACCTCAGCACCGAGCGCCCGCCAAATTGAAGACCGCAGGACTTACAGCCTAGCGATGAACTACATCACGGGAGGTAGCGATAACCCGCCACCGGTTGTGTCAGAGGGTCTCAATCTACTTTCTGGTCTGATACTCGCAGATAGCCCGATTCTGGACATTCCCGCGGTCTCCGTGCTATTGTCTAATCTCCTCGAGAACAACGAAGACTACATCAATCTGCGAGTCATCAAAGTATACACTCAGCTTGCAAACAAGCACCCGAAGTCAGCGGTTCAGGAGCTTCTGGACCACTACCTGGATGCCCAGGAAAAGACATCAACGGATGTTCGGCTACGATTTGGTGAGGCACTACTTCAAGTGACCCAACGGCTTGGTGAGACTTTTGCAGGTGATGTGGCCCAGCAAGTTTGCGAAACACTACTGTCCATTGCTGGACGTCGTGGATACCGGCCAAAGACAATGGCGAAGCAGACTCGCGATGAGAAGAAGAAAATGATGAAAAAGAAGAAGGACGAGGATGACGAGGACGACATGGATATGGATGAAGATCTAACCGAAGAAGAAAGGGCCAATAATGACATCTTGGCGCAAATCCTCCAAGGGTGGGAAAGCAAGAGGGGTAGCGAAGATGTTCGAGTGCGAACTTCAGCGCTGTCCATCTTTGGTGCCGCTCTCGAGACGAATATCGGTGGCATAGGACCTACCTTGGTTTCTGCGAGTGTTGACCTATGTGTCAACATTCTCGCAATGGAACGTGAGTTAGAGACGGCTATCCTTAGAAGAGCAGCCATTTTGAATGTGCTGAGCTTTGTGAGAGCTCTGGACGCCGCCAAGGAGTCTGGGCGGAAACTTGGGTTCGGCCTCACCAACGAGAGTCGAGAGGACATCTTGAGGACTCTGCAATATGTAGCAGCCACAGACGGGGACGGGCTGGTGAAGCAACATGCCAACGACGTGATCGAGAGCTTGGAAAACTGGCAGATGGCAAGCATGCTGCCAACGCAAAGTCAGCCAAGCGGCCCGGCGCTTACAAACTTGGCGGGCCTCCACGTCAACCCAAGCGGGACGCTGGTAGACGCATCTGGGCGGCCTCGACCTAGGATCGAGGAGGTCGAATGAGAGATGGGATGAGATCTGGGAACATCCACGCCACTAATATGCGGCAAATGATTGGCAATCTCGGTCTATACTTGATCGGATATCACAACCCAGGGACGAGCCCCTTGTCCGTGCAGTTGAGTGTGGGTTGTGATACCATGCTCTCGGAGGCTTTTGATAGGAGAAGGCCGCAGCAAACAGAGACCCGAAGGAGGAGAAGGATGGTGCCCAAAACGTGGCTTATGTTGATCAAGGATAGACTATGAATTGGACATGGTTAATGAGGCTCGCCGCATATGCCTGTGTTGGTCTTGGCGAGAAGCCCAAGAGATCCTATAAGGCTGTACGTAGTACTCATACTACGTTGTGAGAGCGTATGGAGACATCAGATGAGGATAGCATCAGCATCCATCAGCATCCATCAGCATCAGCATCAACACCGCTAGTTCGTATTTGGAGCCATTAATAGCGCAGTCGGATCAACGGTATCTTCCTTGTAAAGCCAAGAACGAAGCTCCCCGCGGGCGGCGAGGTTGGGTGATTGGCGAGATGATGAGCGAGGAATCCATGACGCGGCACAGTCTTGATGGGGAACGGTGAACCGGACGAAAAGAGTCTCGCCAAAACGGTGGAAGACAAAGAAGATTTCCATGGAAGAGCGAGATTGATCCTTGCGGGAGATGGGCCACAGGTTCGGGATAGATGAAGAGGTCAGCACCAAGGCCCAGGACCTTGGTAATTCAGGACTCAAGGATTTACACGATACGACGACGAGTTGCCAGCATGGGAATGAATTAATTATCGCTCACTCAATTACTCAGGGACCTTGCTGTGTCGCGCCATGGACTCCCGCCCGAGCCGGCGAGCAAGTTGTACGTGGTTGGGAAAAGAAGGGGAGAGGATAATTTAAGGGTGGGGAACAGAGTCGTTATTCTGCGACAAGCAGTGACAGGGACCCAGGCGACACTGAAACGACAAGGGTGAGGGTATCTCCCTTGGCTCGTGCAGACGGAGAGTTGGCGGATATGGGGCGGGCTTGCCGGTGACCGATAGATGAAGGAGGCGGTGGCTTCTGGTAGATGAGTTGTGATGGTTCGTGTATCTTTCTTTCTGTACCTATTTACTGTACGCGGGATTCTCGTATTGTTGTCGTGTACGGATACTCCTGGTAAGGATCTTTTTTGTAGTCAAGTTGTACGATGGCTGAGCGAGATGAGATGGTGGACCTGCAGTAGCCGCCAGTACGACCTCTTCCAGGGATTGGACAGGATTGGATTGGATCTCTTCTGTCAGACAGAATTCCGTCTACTTGCCGAAAGGGGCAACCAGCAGAGTTCGGTCATGAACCTGGCTGGCCGATTTGACTGCGGTGACCAGGATCCCCGCTTACACCAAAAGAGTAGCGATAATCGAAGACTCTCTCGCTCTGTTTTTAACCATTAGCATAAGCATCGTAATCAAGCACAGAGCACAACGTAGCATCGGCTGATATTACTGCCGGCGCTCTGCGTATGCCGGGCGAGGCTGAGAGGGAATCATGACAGTGCAGTGTCAGCCATGTACGGAGCGACCACTCGGAATCTGAGCCATGGGCAAGATCCAGGAGTGGGCCTGTAAAAGATCTTTCGCATTTTGGCGCAACTTTGGGCGTTAATGGCGATCAAGTCACATCAGCAAAGATGCAGACGGGATAGAGTGTGTTGGTGTTGCATACGGAGTTGCTTCTTGCAGCGGTTAGTGAAACAAATGTCAAGCTCCCGACGCAGCGGCTCTGCAACGAGGCTCTCGGCATGGAAAACGTGCTGATCACTGAGCTGGCGAGTAGTTCTAGACTCCAGCCAACAGCGTCCTGTACAATGTGCTGTCGGATGCCGGCCGCCTTGGCCTCCTCCCGGAGTGATGTGCCCCCGTAGTCGCGCATCAGCCGAGATGACATGGCGGTCGCAGCTGTAGTTGACGGGGATGCCTCAGAAGGGGCCCTGTGCGACGTCTAAAAGACACAGACAAGGCTCATGGAACCCAGATATCCGGGAAGCTCAGCTCGTGTAGTCCTTCCCTGCAGTCAGCGTCGCACCAGGGGATACAAGAAAAGACGGGATCAAGGCAGCGATCCGTCGGGCATTTCCAGCATGTTGGTCTAATCTTGTAAAGGGTAGCACAGCACAACACAAGCTTAATGAATGGCGCTGTTCAAGGGGCATCGCATCGCATCGCATCGGTGTGCATGGAGACCAGACCGCTTAGAAGTGCAGCCTCACCGCATAATGCACAAACACGCTCAACTTTGCAAATGGCTCAAAACTAAGAATCACAGGATCTGGGCATGCTTTTTATTCCAAAACAAGCAGACAGACTCTCTTGCTCAAGTGGCGTCCGCCACACACAATCAGTGTCTCGGGAGGCGTTGTGGGTTTGATCGATTGGCCCGCGTGGCGTCTCAGGTTCTGCGCCGTACCTGCATAAAAAGTGACGTGGTGGCGCGAGAGGCAAGGATGGAGGAAGGAAAGAAGGAAGGAGTGGAGGAAGCAGCAGGAACAGTTCTTTCCTTGCTGCAGGTACGAGCACAGGCAGTGAAAAGTCAGATCTCTCTTTCCCTTGCACGAGATGAAATTTCACAACTCTCTTTCATCCGTTCATAATTCTTGCTTCAGAATCATCCAGAATAACCGCCCTGTTCCCCTCAACTGCGCCTCGGCTGACAGGGTCCTTTACGCAATTACCAAAGGACCTGCCTGTTCGCCATGGTTCAAATTGCAGGGTGCAACGATGGATGGCTGGCCTCGCCGCTCTTCCCAGTGCCTGGCACCTTCTCCCCAAGCCCCCGGTCTCACACCCCAGCTGGAACCCTCAGGACCCTTGCGTTTAGGCCCCTGAGCCAAACCCCTTTGGGCAAGTGCCAAGCGCCCCACCAACATCTGAACCTCCACGCTCTCCAACGGTTGGTGACTCTTCCTGGCGCCCTTCTCCTCCAACATCCACCAGCTTGGACATCCACAGCTACCGCCGCCAGTCACCGACTCCGCAGCAACCAGCAACGAGCAGCATGGTCTCACCTACAAGCCACCCTTGCTTCGGTGCAGGGTCCCCGTCCTGGCACTCGCCCGTCACCGCCGTGCAAACGCCCACGCTACCACCAAGGTTGTCCACTCCTAGCTCGCCGTCCGTGATATCTCTCAGCACCCTTGGTTCAGTCACCACCGTCCCCGAGGCTGACTGGGCTCTCCCCGGTGGGGATTGACAACTACCACCCTGATTAAGGGACATCGAGATGCTGGGCCCTGCGTCCCAAGAAATCCAAGGGGCCTCCCGGTGGACCACCGCAACCCCCCATGCGCAAGTCTTCTTGGCAGTCCGGTGTTTGTAGTTTGACTCCTGATCCTTGGAAGAAGCAAAGGGCTAAAAAGAGGCGTTCAGCCCGGTTGTGTCACCCCGACTCCGTTTTCTGTTAATATCTAACGCTTCCTGCCTCATCTGTGGTCTTATTTCTGCTTTCTCCCAGTCTCGTCTATCTCACTCAACCACACTCATTCAGTCTTTTGTGACTTTCATTCCATTCTTTTCCGGCTTTTTCGCCAGTACAGTCCTTGCACATTACCAGCTTTCACCATTCCAACTTTATACCTTCTTTCGTGAAGCAAAACTGTGTCTTGCTCGCCACTCACAACTAAGGAATTGACTTCTGCAGTTGTTTTGAAGACATATCCAATCGTTGACTTAGACGAAACTGAAGACGCCGCAAAATCCCAGCAAATCCAAAACAACATTCAAGATGAAGTCCGTCATCGCTAACCTCGGCATGTTTGCCGCCGTGGCCAACGCCTACTCCTACCCCCGCCACATGCACTTCCGCCGCGACAACGGCACCGATGATGCCCTCACCACCCTGACTGTCCTGACCACCGAGGTTCAGACTATCACCTCTTGCGCTCCCACCGTCACCAACTGCCCCGCCCGGGACCAGACTGCCTTGGACGAGCTCCCCGAGACCGACAAGACCACCTACGTCGTCACCAACACCGTCCTTCTCACCACCACTGTCTGCCCCGTCACCGAGGCTGGCTCCATCTCCTCCTCCATCATCAGCGAGGCTCAGACTGGTGGTGTCACCGGCAAGACCCTCACTGCCCCCCTGACTGCCGATGTTCCCCTGAGCACCGGTGCCTACCCTCCCGCCACCGCTGGCGACGAGTCCCCTGAGGCTCCTGAGCCCACCAGCCTGACCACCATCACCTCTGACTATGTCACTGCCAAGACTGTCACCCTGACCCTCGGCACTGGTACCGATGCCAGCGTCGTCACCACCACCGTTCAGTCCACCATCAAGACTACCGTCACTGTTCCCTGCTCTGAGGCTGGCCCTGAGGTCACCGACGATGGTAGCAAGGGCAACGGCTCTCCCGATGAGCCCACCACCACCACTACCAAGACCAGCACCGGCACCGTGACCAAGACTGTCGAGCGCGCTGATTCCACTGAGACCAAGACCCCCGGCGAGAGCAACGGCACCTCCACTGGCAACGGTGATGACGGCGAGTCCACCGGCAACAACACCCCCGGCAACGGTTCTGGCAACGGCTCCGGCAACGGCTCCGACTCTGGTGTCTGCGTCGACAAGACCGTCACCGTCACCGCTCCCGCCTCCACTGTCTACGTTACCGTCGGTGGTGAGGGCAGCAAGACCCAGGGCTCCAGCGAGGCTTCCGTCACTGAGGGCCCCAAGGGCGGCAACAGCGGCTCTGGCTCCGGCTCCGACAACGGTTCCGGTTCCGGCTCCGACGATGATGAGGAGGACTACGATGACGACGAGGATGAGGAGTGCGACACTACCACCACCCTCGAGGCTACCGTCACTGTTGTCCCCTACCCCGTCAACGGCACCACCCCCACCGGTGGCTACGCTGCTCCCACCGGCTTTGCCCGCCGTCTCCGATAAGCGTCTCGCTGACGACCATGTATATGCCGTCCGATCCTGTACATGACCCCGTATTTTGGTCACTTTCTTGGTTAGCATCTAGTGGAGGGAGGATTCCTCAGGCGGGTTGACACTTTCCTGGATGTATGACAATTTTACACAATTTTTTGCTGCTTCTTCTTCCAAAACCAATTCAATGAATATCATGATCTCTCTATCTTGCCCACCAACAAACACTCGAATACCTCTTTTGCACAAATGGGGCCCAATGATGGGTGCGGGAAGCGCCTTTTCTCTTTTCTCTCTAGATGGATAGATACAGGATTATGATTGCGTGGAGTGTTTGGTTCCGTCGACTATACTCTGCGTCTTTGGGTTGTTTATTTGTCATATACATCTTTTAGCCTTCGTTGTACATATCTGTGAATGGGGATGTCTGGTTTGGTGTAACTTGCAAGTGAACAATTGTGATGTGAAGAGTGATTGATCAATAGGGTGTTCATTCATGAGCAAGTCTGTTATTGGTGAACCATACTGTAGTATTGTCCGTTCGTACATAATGTAGCCTACACAATCCAGCCCGTTGTAATCACTACTGCCTATGCGTTATGTCGTCTCATCCTTGAGAGCCCATCCAAGTCATAACCCCAAACGCCACATCACTCCTCGCCCCATACCGAGGACAGTCCAGTTCATCATTACATACATAATTCACACAAAACCTATCCCAAAAGGACCTGCTCGTAAGCTCCACTGTCCAAGTACCGATGCAACACATCTTGCAAAGCTGCCTTTGTGCGTGCGAGCTGAGGTGCAACTCCATCAGCCTGCTGGAGGTTACCGCGTATGCTCTCAACATGACCGGCAAGTTGAAGAGCCAGCGGTTCAAGAGGTGTATCGATGAGATGCTGTATTATATTAGACTCTGATTTTAGTGATTGCAGAAAAGGAATGAACTTGCCTTGAGACTGCTTGAAGAGTCACGGTCATCTGTTGTGATGGTGTTGTCTGGGTCTTTCGGTAGAGGTTGCGATGTAGGCGCCAACACATGAGCTTTGCGATATAAATCCTTTCGCTCTCTCGTCTGCGCCCTCGCGTCGGCTTCCAGCTTGCGCAATTTTTCATAGTCATCCTCCAACTCTTGCTCCATCCTAGCCTTTTCAGCCCGGAGCAGCTCAACCGCATGCTTTGCCGGCACGAGCTGTCTCTCCAACGCTGTCTTCCCGTCTAGTACGGCTTCAAAGTCCAGCTCGAGGGCACGTCCACCATCAGCGTCTGCTCCTCTTCGTCTCCCTATGCGTGCGCCGCCGGATGAAGAGGCGGGTGGGAAGGGGAGACCACGGGCGAGCTTGCGCTCTATGCGACGCGAGACGAGGTGGAGGGCTGCTGAGGCGTGGGTTCTGCGATTTCGGGTTGATGATGTGCGTTGGAGGATGGGTTGGTGGGCGAGGGTGAGGATGGATGAGGCGGCGGGAAGGGATGCGCCTGTGAGAGGTGTCCATTTTGCGGCGATGGTTGAGGATTTGATGGTGCGGGTGTAGGGGGCGATGTGAGGATATGGCTTTGGCGGTGATGGAAGTTCTTCATCTGAAGAGGAGGCGGCTTCTTTGCTAGTACGACGACGACGTTTGTTGCCGTTATCTTGTTGCTCCTGTTCCTTGGCGGCTTCTGCATTTTCTGCTGATGGCCTCGATCCCTTCCGTCGACCGCGTTTCTTTGGTTGTGCTTCATCTTGATGATTCTCCGCTTCCTCTTCTCGTGTACCTGATGCTCGACCCTTCTTCTTCTTCGACTTGGTTCCCTCGGCGCCCTTGTTATGAACACTGTCAGCACCAAGGTCGCGTAAAGAGTTTCGCGGACCTCGTCGAACAGTCTGCTCTTCCTCGGGTTCCTCTTCAGCAGGCGCTTCGCGTCGACGTCTCTTCTTGGGCGCGGGTTCTGCTTCTTCGGGTTCTGGCTCTTGTTGCTGAGCTGCCTTGCGGCCTCGCTTGCGTGGTTGTTGTTGTTCCTCCTCGGGCTGTTCGTCCTCTGTCGCCTTTGCGCGCGCCTTTCGCTTCTGCTTCTTTGTGCCTTCGGTAGCTTCGTCTTCGTCTTGTTGCTGCTCTTCCTCGGTAGGTTTCGCGCGCTTGCCTCGTTTCTTCTTCCCAGCATTCTCTACCACTTCTTCCTCGTTCTGTTGTTCCTCCTCGGTGGGTTTTGCGCCCCTGCGTCGCTTTGTCTTCTCTGCGTTCTCTACAGCCTCATCCTCATCTGGCTGCTCCTCCTGCTGTTCCTCAGTGGGCTTCGAACGCCTCCCTCGTTTCGGTTTCAGCGCGTCCTCTACCACATCCTCCTCATCCCGTTGTTTCTCGAGCGAAGGCCGACCGCGTTTGCGCTTGGGTTGCGCTTCTGCCGTCGCGTCGCCATCTTTTGAGTCTAGAGACGGCCGACCGCGCTTCCTTTTAGGAGCCTCCTCCTGTGGCGGCGACTGTTCGACGGTATCGGCGCTCTTCTTAGGTCGTCCTCGCTGCTTTGGACGCGCAGCTTCCTCGACGTCGGCTTCGTACTCGTCGGGACGATCCTGCGACGCGCTCGTGGTCGGCTTTGTCGCGTTTGGAGGGCGGCCGCGTTTGCGACCTGGAGGTTTTGGATCTGGAGCCTGAAAAAGTGACATGTTAAATAATTGCGCAATGATTTTTTTTTGAATATGTTCTGAGTGTTCAACTTACCATTGTGGAATTGGTGGCGTGTGGGGTGGGAGATGCAAGTGTTTGTGATGATTGAAATGCATGTTGTTTCAGCGGCTAGAGTTTCATCGGCGCCGGTGCTTATCGGGGAAGCGGGGCAGGCCGGGCTTGTTTGGCTCCGCTCTCCGGCTCGGCCACGGGGGACGGCGATCTTGTCATTTTTTCGACGCAGGCGATACGGCATATCTCATAACGTTATTTATTACAGTAGAGGAGTTTTATTAAAGCAATCTTTTCAGAACCAGGCATTGCGATGCCATCCATCATTGCCTTTTCCAGTAGCACAGGTATTCGGGTACGTAGATCAAGGCTTGAGTGAATTCGGCAACCCGTCAAGCATCTGTGCCGAGGCCATCTCTCATAGCATAGCATCAAGTACAACCTCATCAGTCTCTCGTCAGTCTGCATCCCCAAGCTGAAAAAACGATAACCGAGAGTTTTTAGCTCTCCTCGCACCACGCACCACCAAAAAACCCTAGGGCTGGCCTCACGCACAATAGTTGAAGTGGCTGCTACACAATGATGGCATCAGACGTGTGTCCTCGCGATAGGCAGCGCGCGTTCGCATCTGCGAGATAACCATGCCATTCCGTCAGCTCTGCTGGGATTCCAGACGCAGCAGCTGCTGCGTGATGACGATTGACTGGGGGGGGGGGGGGCACCGTTGGGGGGGAACAACGCCTCGGTACCGCAGAATGGGTATTGGTACCGTAGCGATCCGCAGACGGTACATTTTTCTTAATTAGCTCTTTGGGTAAGGTGTTTTTCAAAAGATGTACATTCGTGGGACCCTTCCGTCTACTTGCATGCTTGCTTGGTGTTGAGATGGAAGCATCACAAGAAGTAGGGATGGCATATGTAGCAGCCTCTTATTCGTGTGTTTGTTTGAGTGTGTGCCCTGCCAGCTCAGACGAAACCCTTCAACGCAGACATCCCATTCTTGCATTTGCGAAAAACGGCTCTGCGTTCTAATTACCTGCGTTTTGGCTGTTGGGCTCTTCTTTGACATTCACGGCGCCTAATGTGCTCCATTCTGCGGATAAGAAAAGAGTCATACAAAACAACGTGTCAAGAGACTAAATCTAACCATGTCACCCTCGAATTCGGTTGTTTTAGTTGTTAGTCGACATTTCATGTGTGGGGAGTGTGAAAAAAAAGCCCAGGAAGCCCTCAGCATTGCTGCCCAAGCGCTGAAGACGGTGATGCCCCCCTCCTCTCCATCCCCCAGCGGCGCCAATGGGTTGGTCCACGAGGGCGCTTAGAGAGATGTTTTTTCTGCTGCTCATTATTCCATTGAATAATTGAGAAATAAAAAAAATCTATCAAGATATCTTCTGTGGGATCCTTCTGCAAGGGCTTGAATCTTGTGTCCCACTCGCTTCCACATCTCCAGGAATCCTTGGCCGAGCCGCGTCTGCGCTGGCATGCCCATCCCATCACACAAAGGCTTCGACCACTGATATCCACGAGAGTGAGACTTGTTGGACGTGGGCAAGGGGATTTACAGCGGGCCGGCCCATAATGTCTATGATTTTTTCCTGCATTCCAGACGAAAGAAACACAAGAGCTAGCTGGCCTCGTTTTTCTTTCTGTGATTCAATATTGGTTGAATTACCGAAGTTTTCCTGTGGTAGATGTGTGGTGGTGGGATGGGATATAAAAGCGAGGGCGCCTTGTTTGTGCGTGAGAAGTCGAGAACCTCCATCTCTCATCTTTCGAGATACCATCAATCAATCGAGTCGACGAGACTCGATTTTCACATTGATCCATCCAATCCATATCTATCCACCTTACAGATACTGTACCTCAGTTGGCTGTCACAAGCCCCTCCCCCATCAACAGCTGTAATATCCATCCATCGTACGCATAAAACCTGCCCGAGTGATACCAGAGACATTCGGTTTGCCTCCCGTCTCCTCAAAATCCCGATCACCTTCCTCCGATCCATACAAAAAGCACGTGAGATTTCATCGCAGGCCTGTCAAATACTGACAGACGCACACAACCTTGAATCTCTCGTCCCAAGACATTCGATCTGAATCACCCACCCATCCCCCCCCAATCGTTCTCTAAAAAAAGTCCCTCCCCCCCCCTCACGTCAGTGAGACATCCCGCCGAAGCTATCCCCATCTTCTCTCCACCGGACGAGACAGAAAGAATCCACTTGGAGCGCGGCGCCCAACCTCCTCTTTTTCACATTGCAGACCCGAACCCGGCCCCGGTCACGGCGCTACGTCTCCTCCACTCTCTCCCGTCCCGCAGACAGAACAGAGCGAGAAGGTGCAACAAGTGCTTTCTCACGCCTTGTCAATCATCACATCAGTCGGCGTCGCCAGGCCCGCCCCAAACCCGAATCAGAAAAGGGCTGAGCCTCAGAGACAGGGCCTTCCTTGCAGTTGGAGCTCCCTCGTGCCAGTTTCTCTTTTTTGACCTCAAGGAACAGGCCAGCAGGAGATAGCATCCCATACCGTCCAGTCCCGTTCTTGTTATTCTTCCTCTCTGGGTTGAGGCATTACTGTTAGTCTGCTTCGCCTTGTCCGCCCGCTCGCCTCATCCATCCCCGACCCGACGACGCAACGCAACGCAAGTGAGTGTGTGGTGGTTGCTCTGCCAAATAGATTGCTCAGGCAGGTCATCTGGTGGTCGCATCATCGCCATCACCAGTCCAATCCTTTTTTAAGAAAGAATCGCCCGCCGTCGTCCACTCCGGGCCAAGATCTGGACCGTCGAGTACCATTGCAGTACCATTGCGGTACTGTCTGTACTTTTACTCTACTGCTCTTGTTCAAGTTTCTTGGACGCTGCGGGGCCTATCAAGCCGCTTCCCCTCCGTTCCCCTCCGTCCGTTGCTCGCTCGCCATCCATCTTACTTGCATTTCTTTTTTTCTTCTTCCCCTCCTCTTTTTTCTCTTGTCGGTTCTTCTCTTTCCTTTTCCCTCTTTTTTTTTGTCATCTTCACTTGATCCCCTCCAAGTGAAGGACAAAAAAGATACAAGGAATCAACAACCTCTTTTTTCCCCTCTTGTCGACCGTTTCATCTTGTCGACGAACAAGACAAGACAAGACCCTGCCAAGTACAAGGAAGGGCGCCCACATCGTTTTTGGGGTCCAGGTCCATCCCATCGCAGTAGGCAAAGAAACGTTTCAATTCAATCGACGATAAGCGGAACCGACAAGATCTCTCCGAGAGACGAGACTCTTGTCATCCACCCCGCCAAGCGAAGAGTGCTCGATCCAAACATCGGCACCCTCTCTCATTTTTCGAGACACTATCATGACCCCAAACACAAGCCGAATATCATCCTCTCCGTGTTGGAGATTTCTCCTCTGGGTCTTGACTCCCTGACTACTACTGTTGTCACTACTGCTGCCGCCATCTGGTGTTGTCTCGCAACGAGCATCCCATCGTCATCGCCACTGTCACTGCCACTCGTATCATTATTCCCGTCGCCATTGGTGCTGTCCTGTCACTGACTGACTGACTGCCACTGATTCTTTACCGTTTTGTTTCATCGGTTCCAACAAGACGGGACCAGACAAGGCCCAACCTACGAACAAGGGCCTTGATACTTTTTTTTCTCTACTCCTTCGATATCTCTTCTACCCCCCCTCGCTGCCCTCCACTGCTGCCAGTCCAGTCCAGTGCCAGCCCAGCGCAAGAGGGCCCAAAAACGCCCCCCAAAAAAGCCCGCTCAGCACTGGCCCAATCGAACCCAATCGACCACCCCCTCCCCCTCACCCTCGCTCGCTCCCAATCAATCCCACTCACTCCCACTTGGGACTTGGCCACTTGGGTGCATTGCATCCTGCGATGCTCTGTTGGCAGCCCCGCGTAGTATCCTAGCAGAGCCAGCAGTAGCCAGCCAGCCAGACTGCAGCAGCAGAGCAGGCCAGCCCAGCCAGCCCAGCCCAGCCCAGTCCAGCAAAGCACAGCACAGCAAAAGGCTGCAGGTTTTTTTCTGCCGTTTTTTTGTCTCCTTCTTATCCTCTTCCCTCTCTCCCTCTCATCCAATACTCGAGACCGGTACCTCATCCTCCTACCGGCCATTATTAAATCACTATTTATTTACTTCCGGATCGGCTTGGGCTCACTTTACCCCACATCCACGCCAACCAAAGGGACTCGATTGATAAGATCCCGCCGACGGTCTGGTCTGGTCTCGGATTCGGGCTTGTCCTTTTCTCTACCGAACACACCTAACGGCCGTCGGTTGTCAGGTGGTGGACGCCGCCACTTGCACCAATACCTGCCTTCAACTCGCCCTACCAAAATTATATACGTTTTTTTGTCTTTGAGTCGCTCAGTCAACCAGCATGCCGAGAAAAAACGTCCGGCGGCGGCCCGCTACGCCAAACCTCAAGGTCGCTGAGGTTCAAGTTCAAACTCAGCCTGAGGACCAACAACAACTCACCGCCGCCGACCCGAACTCGCCACCAGAGACCCCCACCACATCGCCGCCCTTTTCCCGCAAGATCAGTCTTAAACCTCGGCGCCAGCCTGACTTTCATGGTTATTTTGAGCCTCTTGATACGGATCCCAACATCAAGCCTGTTGGAAATGGTCACCAGTTTAGCTACCAGCCCCACCTGGGCCCTGAGCAGTTGAGTCCTCGCTCATCTTCCTCGTCTGATATGCTCGACGATAGCAGCGAAGACGACTCAGACGACGATGATGACGATGAATCGGGGAGCCCAAGCATCCGCAGCTTAACAAACAGTCCTGCGCCAGCTGCTGCTTCCGAGGCGGATGAGTCTGACATGGATGTTTCTGATGATGCCGAAAGCTCTAGCGACTCAGACGACTCAGAATCCGACTCTGGTTCTGACTCTGACAGGTCCGGTGCTACAGACGAGGCCGAGACTTCACATATCACTGCCACCACCGCGGCCACAGCCAACTGCAACTTTGTTCTCGAGGATGTTGACC